GGCTGAATGGTGAGGGTGAATGGTGAGAGTGAGTGGTGAGGGTGAGTGGTGAGGGTGAGTGGTGGTTGTGACGGTGAGTGGTGAGTGGTGAGGGTGAGTGGTGAGGCTGAATGGTGAGGGTGAATGGTGAGAGTGAGTGGTGAGGGAGAGTGGTGAGGGAGAGTGGTGAGGGAGAGTGGTGAGGGTTAGTGGTGAGAGTGAGTGGTGAGGGTGTGTGGTGATTGGTGAGCAGTGAGGGTAAGTGGTGATTGGTGAGGGTGTGATTGGTGAGGGTGAGGGAGATTGGTGAGGGAGATTGGTGAGTGGTGAGTTGTGAGGGTGAATGGTGAGGGTGAGTAGTGAGTGAGAGTGGTGAGTGGTGAGGATGAGTGGTGAGGGTGAGTTGTGAGTGGTGAATGGTGTGGGTGAATGATGAGTACAGTCAATATGCACTGCTGTAATCATAGCAGGTACCACCACCACAATATGTACTGCTCTCATTAGAGAAGGTACCACCACCACCACAGTATGTACTGCTGTCATCATAGCAGGTACCACCACAGAATGTACTGCTGTCGTCATAGCAGGTGCCACCACACTCGGTATGTTCTGCTGTTTTCATACCAGGTACCACCACCACAATATGTACTCCTCTCATCATAGCAGATACCACCACAGCATAATCAACGATTTTTGGGTTTAGATCGCGTTTATTTATAAATGTGTCGTAACCCTCCACCACCCGACACGGCCAATCAGTAAAAATGTGTCACGTTGACAAAGACAAATAGTTCACTGCTTTAGCCCAAAGCAGTGAACTATTTGTCTTTGTCAACGTGACACATTTTTACTGATTGGCCGTGTCGGGTGGTGGAGGGTTACGACACATTTATAAATAAACGCGATCTAAACCCAAAAATCGTTGATTATGAATAACATTGGTCGCGAAAGCCTACGTGTTAAACTGACCACCACAGCAGTATGCACTGCTGTAATCATAGCAGGTTCCACCACAATATGCACTGCTGTCATCATAACAGGTACCAACACAGCAGTATGCACTGCTGTAATCATAGCAGGTACCAACACAGCAGTATGCACTGCTGTAATCATAGCAGGTACCACCAGTCAGTATGCACTGTTGTAGTGATAGCAGGTACCACCTCAGTCGGTATGCACTTCTGTCATTATAGCAGGTACCATCAGTCAGTATGCACTGCTGTTATCATTGCAGGTACCACCACAGCAATATGCACTGCTGTAATCATACCAGGTACCACCACAATATGCACTGCTGTAGTCATAGCAGGTACCACCACAGTCGGCATGCACTGCTGTTATAGCAGGTCCCACCATCACCAGTGAGTGGTTAGTGGTGAGTGTTGGTGTTGAAGGTGAGTGGTGAGGGTGAGTGGTGAAGATGAGTGGTTAGGTTGAGTGGTGAATAGTAAGGGTGAGTGGTGAGGGTGAGGGTTAGTGGTGAGGGTGAGTGGTGAGGATGGTGCGGGTGAGTGGTGAGGGTGGTGCGGGTGAGTGGTGAGGTTGAGTGGTGAGCGTGAGTGGTGAGGGTGTGTGGTGATGGTGAGTGGGGAGGGTGAGTGCTGTGGGTGTGGTGAGAGTGAGTGGTGAGGGTGAGTGGTTAGGATTTGTGGTGATGGTGAGTGGTGAGGGTGAGTGGTGACGGTGAGTGTTGATGTTGAGGGTGAGTGGTGAGGGTTAGTGGTGAGGGTGCGTGGTGAGCATAAGGGGTGATGGTGAGTAGTGAGGGTGAGTGGTTAGGGGTGAGTAGTGAGGGTGAGTGGTGAGGGTGAGTGGTGAGGGTAAGGGTGAGTGGTGAGTGGTCAATGATGAGGTTGAGTGGTGAGTAGGAATGGTGAGTGGTGAGGGTGAGTGGTGAGTGGGGAGGGTGAGTGGTCAGGGGTGAGGGTTAGTGGTGAGGGTGAGTGGTGGTGGTGGTTAGTGAGGGTGAGGGGTGAGTGGTGAGCGTGAGTGGTGAATGGTGAGGGTGAGTGGTGAGGGTTAGTGGTGAGGGGTGAGTGGTGAGGGTGAGTGGTGGTGGTGGTGAGGGTGAGTGGTGAGGGTGAGTGGTGAGGGTGAGTGGTGAGCATGAGTGGTGAATGGTGAGGGTGAGTGGTGAGGGTGAGTGGTGATGGTGAGTGGTGAGGGGTGAGTGGTGAGTGGTAAGGGTGAGTGGTGAGGGTGAGTGGTGAGGACGAGTGGTGAGGTTGAGTGGTGAGTGGTAAGGGTGAGTGGTGAGGGTGAGGGTTAGTGGTGAGGGTGAGTGGTAAGGGTGAGTGGTGAGGGTTAGTGGTGAGGGTGAGTGGTTAGGGTTTGTGGTGATGGTGAGTGGTGAGGGTGAGTGGTGAGGGTAAGTGGTGATGGTGAGTGGAGAGGGTGAGTGGTGAGCGTGAGTGGTGAGCGTGAATGGTGAGGGTGAGTGGTGGTGGTGAGGGTGAGTGGTGAGGATGAGTGGTGAGCGTGAGTGGTGAGTATTGTCAAAGCCCACCGGGCTTTGACAATACCTTAGTATCTGTGTATATATGTAAAGTTTTTAAGAAATATATTTTTCACCCGGGCAACGCCGGGTACTTCCGCTAGTTTAATATATACGTTTTATTTGTGAAGTTTATAGGTGTTAAAGCATCAATGTGCAGACATTGGTGCTACATCTACATTTCCCATATAGAAAATGTGTTTTTGCTATCGTGAACCGAGTACACAAAGAAATACAATATTTAAAAATACTTTTTAAAAAAACACGCTTTAATAAAATGCACTGTCCGAGCTGCCCCTCCCCTGCCCCCATCGCCCCTCCCCTCCTTCCACATCCCCCGCCCCTCGGCGTGGCTCCCCGAGGCTTGCCGTGACGTAAGGGACTGTGGTGATTTACAGGCAACGTGAGTTGAGCGTGGACAATTAGAGCCGTAAAAAAGATTGTTTAAAATATATATTTTAAAATTTCAATGATAGAATATATTATTGTCATCCGTATGACATACCTATACCAAGTTTGCAGTCGATACGACATTGGGAAGACGGTTGAAATTGAGTTACAAAATTTGAGGATACAACAGACAGAGTGAGTTAAATAAAAAAGCGTGTAAAATGTTAAAAAATATATATTTTAAAATTTTAATGATAGAATATAGTCTTGTCATCAGTATGACATAAGCATACCAAGTTTGCAGTCGATATCACATTGGGAAGTGGGTAAAATTGAGTTAGAATATTTTTTGAGGTTACGACAACAGACGGAGTGAGTTAAATAAAAGCGTGTAATAATAATAAAAAGAGAAATGTTTGTTAGTATTCATGGACTTTTGAATGCGTTTAAGTATTTGCATTTATAGGGCACTCAAAGTGCTCTCCATCGTATCTCATCTCAACCATTTTGATACCCTGCTGCAGTTTGGCTAAGGATTCTCCCCAGTGGCAGCTGTCCCTGTGCGGCACTCAGCGCACGCAACACTGGCCTGCATGTGGGCTTTCATCTGCCAGTAGGGGCCAACGTTGCTATCTGGTTATTCCCAATTCAGTGATTTTGCGAGTAATTTATCAAAACTAGACAACGGATGTGTATCAGCTTACGCAGTGTACAGAGGGTCCCACTCCAACCGGGTGCACATCTGCAAGAGAAGGAGCCCGGTGTGTTGACACAGGTTCCTCCATGGGAGCATGGTCTAGAGGCACATTCATTTACATCTGCAAAAAACACACAAACACGAAAGGTCATGAAAATGTACCCATCGATGTAAAACGTCCGGTTAACTTTTTTTTACAAAAATACATTTTGATTAAGACATTTCTGCTAAATGGTGTTATACTAAATTAACATAGCGTACATGTAAGCATGTTTTTCCCCAAACTGACATCACGTTGAATATGTAGTAGTAATATCACCAAGCTTATTGTTGCCTCTATAAGTATGGTGTTTCCATTATAAGTTCATAAACTACATCCACATGCTCAGAAGCATTTATCCCACAAACATTGATGTAATTAAAATGTTCCACTCACCTTCATCACAGTAGACACCGGTCCACCCACTGGTACAATGGCAGGAGAATTTATTTACCATGTTTTGACAGGTGCCAGAATTTGTGCAAGGATTACTCTGGCACTCATCAACATCTGTGGGGAACAAAAGAAAACATAAAAATGAAGTAAAGCCTTTGAGTAGCACACAGCTCATTCTAATAATGATTTACTCGTTCATCCACGAGGCCCCCCCCCAACCCCCCTAAGAACTCTTTTTTTCCACGAAGGTTCTCCATTGGGATTTTTTTAAAACTGATGTTTTCAGGCAATTACTGAGTGTCTATACAAGTAGGAGAACAAACCACTGTAGCACCCAGCGATAAAGCGCACGTGTAAAGGGGGCAAGACTCTTATCCCCGAAAGGAATCAAAACGTATGATAGCTATTATTGGACTCGGTGTTCTTCCTTCTCCTGGCGAGCCTAGGGTATGGCACCTTAATGCCCACGGGAAGGGAGCTTCAAAATATTTGTGCGTACCACCAACTCTCACCTCCACCATCCTGGATTACAGGTGTGCAAAGCAACCATCGCCCAGCATTAAGTTGTAACAGGTATGTTACGATTATTAATAGTAAAATGGTACACATGTGTATCATGTAAAATGTAATGGCTCAGTCCAACTTATTTCTTTCAACTCAATTTTGCTGTACCAATGCAATTAATATCCTTAACAACACATCCCCCAAACCGCACTAACGAAGTATGGTAAAACAAAAACCTATGACCAAGATGATGTGGGGAATTAACAACGTCAAGTTCACTCATTTCGTGTCTATGTTATTTTATTGTGCGGTTCTGTTTGAGTACACCCCTCCTTTCCCTCTTCTTTCGCTCCCGTAAAAATTCCTGATCGTTGCCCCTACGTGAGTAGGGGGACAGTGAGCCCAATCACTCTTCCCTCGATCATGCTTTGTTTGTTTAAAGAAAAAACACAAGGGCTGTGGAACTGGGAAAAATCTCCATAGTGACGGTTTTCACGTACCAATGCATCTGTTAGCAACAACAAGATCCTGCGTGAACCCAGGAGAACAGGAGCACTTGTAGCTTCCGATGGTGTTAGAGCATTCTTGCTCACACGGTTTAGGCTGTTCTTCACATTCATTCAAATCTGTATCGTTCAAGAGCACCGCATGCAGTCATCAGGCAATTGAGCTTAACACAGTATTGGCAATGTATCATGACAATTATTGCATTGCTTGCAACTAACAGCTATTCATTTAAATATGTATCATTCAGTAGCATTGCATGTAGTTATCAGGCAATTGAGCTTAAACAACACAGTATTGGCAATGTATCATAATAATTCTTATATAACTAGCTAAGCAGCAGGTCTAGAGGTATGTTTGAGGGTACGTACAGATTAGAAACATAATATTTTAAAACAATGTTTAATCTTAAATGCTTTAAATAAACACAGTATTACTGACATCTCCTCTAACGAATGGATACTAGGTGGGAGAAAGCATAAAAATACAACAGATTGATCGTGCAAATCCAGTTTTACCTAAGCAGTTTTGCTTGCTTTTATCAAGGACGTAACCAATGTTACAGGAGCAGGTTGGTCTCTTTGTGTTGGGATCAATAAAGCACCTTCCATTGGTACAGGCCAGTGTGCAGCTCACAATAGCTGAAAAATAACATACAACATATATAGCGCATTAACCTCCATACGGTATTGCAGTGTAATTGTTCACAATTCAAATCGTAACGTGTGTAATGAAACAGTACAGAAATGCATACACAATGACTCAATATTTTTACAAGCAAATTTAATGTTTTTTTATATTTGACTGTAAATATATTTAGTATGTTGTAAAAAAATAATATATGTTTGTATGTACGTGCTTATACATTCAGTAAACGTATTAAACAGCTAACATGTGATGTTTGGGTGTAACGAGATGGCCAAAATAGATGAATGTGAAATTTAATGTTTAGATTACATTTTTGATGCAGGGCAATACTATATTGTACTCTAAATAATGACATTGATTTCCTTTATTCACACGATTAAAATGATACAGTGAAGTCATTTTCTAAATATTTAGTTATCATTTCCAATTCCTATTCTGTATGAGCCGTGTCCTTTCTCAAAGACTTTGGCGATCATGGCCTTCTTCAATTTGGCTCTGTCCATGATATAATACTTCACTCCCAGTTGCATCCAATTGGTCAAATTGCTTATGCACTGCTGACCATTGCCTAGATTTACGATTCAAATATGTACTTTAAATCTCATAAAGGTTGAAAATATGAGCTATATGTAAGACTTTGGGTCAGTCACAGCATATATGGCAGCATTTGTATTCGCATCTCTGAGGTACAGAATTAATATATATTGCCGTTCTTGTATTTGTTAATATTTCTATATTAAATTAAATCTGAATTAAACACACAGCAAACACTTATTAAGAACCAGTCTAGGACACAGGAAGTGTGGCCAGCATCACACCTCACCAGCGTTGTCTCCCTGATGCTGGTGTGTGCTCACCTGTGATTAATCACACGTATGACACGTATAATTTGAGCACTCTGCTAATATCTACGGGTAACCAGTTGCGTTTTTAAAATTATTGTTTAAGTTAATGCAGTGGTGATCAAGGATTGGGACCCTAGCCCCCGAAGTGCACAGTTTAGATTTGGGTGGATTAAGTGCCCTTTCAGCCGTGTGTTGTTACATTAGCTCCAATAATAATAATAATGTCTAACTACTCTTAGGTTTTTTCGGTAAAGTCACGTAGGTAAAAAATAATAAAATTAAAATTAATAAAATTAATAATAAATCACGACATTTCGGAAGCAACACAAGTCTCCGTCATCAGGTAGGACCGTCACAGCTAGATTTACTGTATCAAGTGAGGCAAAAAATTCCAAGATATAAGTTCTTAAATACAATTTAAGGGGGGAGGAGGGGGGAGGGGCTTATCTGAGTGTGGTAGCCAATGAATGGAACGTATTGGGGGGGCGGGGCTAAAAGAGAACAACAAGTGCACATGCTAGAGGTGCACATGCTAAATTATTGCAGTCACGAAAGCTTCAAATCTAGAAATAATGTCTAACTGTTCAATTTGCGTCAATCGACTGACAGGCGCTCGGTGGAGTCGCCTCGCGTTTTACGTAACGCGGGGTTGAAATGGCGCGTTCGATTAACTCGCACTTATTTTTGTTGCACATGCGCGCACTATGAATGGAAATAACGAGCGCTTATTTTTTTTGTACATGCGCGCACTATGAATGGAAATAACGAGCACTTATTTTTGTTGCACATGCGCGCACTATGAATGGAAATAACGAGCGCTTATTTTTTTTGTACATGCGCGCACTATGAATGGAAATAACGAGCGCTTATTTTTTTTGTACATGCGCGCACTATGAATGGAAATAACGAGCGCTTATTTTTGTTGTACATGCGCGCACTATGAATGGAAATAACGAGCGCTTATTTATGTTGTACATGCGCGCACTATGAATGGAAATAACGAGCGCTTATTTTTGTTGTACATGCGCGCACTATGAATGGAAATAACGAGCGCTTATTTTTGTTGTACATGCGCGCATTATGATGGAAATAACGAGCGCTTATTTTTGTTGTACATGCGCGCACTATGAATGGAAATAACGAGCGCGTTTGGGACGCGACGCAGACGGAGCGCGCCTTGCGGAGCTGATCGCGAGTCGAGAGGCAAAGTTGAGTGGCTTTGATGCCTCGAAGTGCCGCAGCATCAGCAGCAAGCAAGCGGCAAGCAGTACTGACAACCACCACACGTGGGGGCAGCATCAGTCAGCCATCTCCTCCACTCCTCCCCTTCCACCACTTAGTATTTGCGCGGAAAATCGGCTTCGCGGCGAGTTATTTAATCAGTATTACGAGTGTTAATAAACGTGTTTACTTTGAGCAATACAACTCGAATCAATAGCTATAACGGAGTTGGAAGATGATGAGTGCGTTTTGGTTTTGAAAAACGGAATTCGTTTTTGCAATTGCAAACACTTGGTGGTAGTGGTGTTGTTGCGATGTAGAGCTGTACATTGGAAAGGCGCACGATGGCTGATCAGAGCTTGGTTTCAACATTGAGCGAGCTAATGGGGCTGAGCAGAACATGCGCTATGGCAGCGGTGAGATTAATATGAGAAACAATAACTGATTTTGATGTTTTGTCAGTTAGATATGATTTATCTCATTGACGTTGTTCATAGAATTCGATGTTAAACGAAACGTGTAAGTATTATGATGAACTCGGACGTTTATGAGGGACATTATTAATGTTTCGGGCAGATGTTTGTATGTTAAATGTTCCTAGATATCATCGGCTATTGTCACAATTGAGATTTGGGCGAATTTCGTGATGAGAAATTGAACTGCGATATTTCGACGCGGGGGGGGGGGGGGGGTGTTTCTTCTGATCGTTATTGGGCGATTGAGTACAGGAGGAGAGGGGACAGGGGCTGGACCGGCTCTACTAATTTTTATACAAATATTTATTTTAAAGGCTACGTTGACTTTGGGGAGGCCTGGGTCAAATTTGGATATCGCCAGCCGTCGACGTGCATTGCCAGGAATTTAAATCGACATTTGCCACTATTGCAACCAATCACCACTCTACACATTGTATGTATGTAGTGCCTGAAATATGCGCCACGCGCGGGAGTCGGGGGCACGTGTGCGCAGAGTACAGTGGGAGCATACGAGGTCGAGGTTGTTTTTGTCGTCTCGATGCAAGGAGGAGGCCAGAGACGGGTAGGGGGCAATTAAAGACACAGGACGCTGATTGGCTGGGATTTGTTATTGTCTAAATGCGACGCCACGCTGTCTGAGGACAGTAACAGGTGGTAGAGGGCGATTAAGGATGCAGGGCGCTGATTGGCCGGGAGGTTGTTGTCGTCGCTAAGTGGCGCCGCGTTGTCTGGAACACGTGGCGGGTGCCAGCGGGGGCTGGGGGTGAGGGGCGTCGCGGGGGACGCCACCTGATTAATTAGAGAATAATTGGCTTGGGCATAAAGAGAGCGGGTTTTGAAGGAGACGGGAGTTCGTGCCTGGGAGCAGAAGAAGAATGTTGGAGCGGAAACAGCGGAGCCAGAAGCAGTGGAGAAGTATAGGGTAGCAGTGGAGAAGTATAGGGTAGCAGTGGAGAAGTATAGGGTAGCAGTGGAGAAGTATAGGGTAGCAGTGGAGAAGTATAGGGTAGCAGTGGAAAAGTATAGGGTAGCAGTGTGACGGCGAAGCTGATAAAGAGCGGCTGAACTGTGACTGAGAGAGTGGAGAGGAGAGTCGACAGAATGAGAGACGCGGAGCGAGCGAGACCGGCGGAACGCGGCGGCGAGCGAGCGGAGAACGCGCTGAAGGAATGTTGATCGGTATTAGCGGAATAAAGTGAGGAAGAAATGCAAGAAGCTGTCATGTCGAGTTCAGCACTACATGTATACACACACCATCATTACTTTTACTTCCAAAACATGTAAATGTTTCCCTTTACTGTATTTTTCTACGTTAACATTTATTGGAGCGGAAGAAGACTACATTAAAATGTTTAATACTGTCACGTAGAATATTTAGCTTTGCTTTTATGCGATTTGCAAGTTACAGGCAACACAATCCTACAGAAATGTTAAACATTACAGTTTGATGTGCGTACTAAATGTTTAACATATCGTATAGTGTACTCATTGTGGTAGCACCAACAAGAATAAATACAGTAAAAATACCCACGGCAATGGAAAATAGGGTCCCGATTACACCAGAAGATGCGTGTCTCAATCAAGTGCACTGTGAAACAACCTGGACACATTATCCGCAGAAAAAATTATGTGTCGTTACTCACGCTGACAACTTATGCCATCTTGCTGCATCTTGAAGCCACCGAAGCAGCTGCAGTTGTAGCCCTGGCTGTTCTCAAAGAGGTTCAGCTCATTGCATACCTGAGCGCATTTGTTGTTCCCATCACTGCACTCGTCAACGTCTATAAAGTGAACGAGAAGCGAAATTAAGACGATGCTGAAAAGGACAAATTAACGCAATTGTATATACATAAAAATATAACTATCTCGGCACACGCTGGATATCTAAAAATATAAACAGCTGCACACAGTATATCCTCTTATCTGCAGTGATGTTGTTGGGGAGATTGAATTTTGTGGTTGCGATTAACCACACATTTACTTAACGTATACATTTTACAATAGGAAACCATAGGGCCATGGATAATAGGTTTCCACAAATCCTACAGCTTGTGGATAATAAGAGTCGTGGATAATCGGGTTACAGATCATACGAATTATACTTTAATTAACACAGTCATCCATTTATAGATACCCAACTGATGATATCTGACTCCATATACGTGACTGTAATGTTGATAACAGGACACGCTAAATGTTAATGAAACAGTGTAAATCTACAGAAGTGTGTGTACTGACGGCATTTTTGGGTATAAATGATCAACAAGTGCAGCAGAACACCAATAATTCCAAATGTAATATTCTACGAATCCTTGTAATTCGTGGATAATTATAATTGTTGGTTCGCGATGCCCTCCGGTAATTCCACGGCAAACCGCGGTGGATTCAAAATGCTTCACGAAAATGGAAATCACAATCCGTGCAAGCAGGTGGGGCGAACGTGGGGACTGCTCTGTCGAGGTTTGTTGAGTAACAAAACGATACGCGTTGATAACGGATTTGCACAATTTGGGTTTGAGAAGAAACGAAACCACTCGCGGATGAATTTAGGCACTGTTCCCCTGTCATGAGCACATTTTTCACGGATTAATGGAATATTTCATCCTTTTATCTGCATCACAAAACCGCGTGGGCGCAAAAGAACACATTGCACGGATTGTTTGGTCAAACCTGCGCGGTGTGCTGCTGATTACATGATTTATGACATAGCCTCTCAAATCAACACGAATTATTGGATTTCTGCTGTGCTGTATATGTGCAAACGAATTGCTGTAAGCATTGTGAAAGCAACCTCAGTTACTACTAAAAGGCTACAGAGATAAGTTACCTGTTCTTTGCGTCACAGATACCCCATCATTGGAGTTATTCCCATGATCGATGGTTTTCACGTTGATGACATAGAGGACACCTGCTCTCAAATTATCAAACTTGGCGATGAGTAACCCATTTGGACTGATGGAAAGGGCAGAAACGTTTGCCGGAGAGATGAGCACCGCATATTGTGCCACGTCGCCCTGAGCGCTCGTCCAGACAATTTCCAAGGACTTGTTGGTCACTCCTTGACTGGTGAAGGTCAAATTCCTTGCATTCCCTGGAACTGATGAGTACAAAACGATTTAGTATGGCGTTAACTATGGACAGGAAATTCAAACATTTGTGCCCTTCAAACCAGCATCCGGTTTGATAATAAGACACACGTCCCGATGTGTGTTGAACTTCTTTCGCACCCTACGTAGCCAACCATGTTAATCGGTTGTGCACGTTGGTAGAAGCTATACATTAAAAACTGGAATGTCACTGCCTCAATTTGTTGCTGTTGCGTGTTGTGGTTGTTTTTAACACGCACCAACACGTGTTAAATTGTACTAACTCCAACAGGGGGGAAATATCACAATAGATGATATACCCTTATACAGTAAATGAATAAGCACTCGTGTTCATGAAATGATTTCATCACTCCATCTCCACTGTTTTTTCCTTGTGGTGTGCATTGCTCTCTTTTGGCTGGCGCTCCGTCACTAGTTTTGTGAATCGGCCATGCATGCTCACTTTATTCAACGGTTTTATTTAACTTCACTTGTGTTTGTTGTGGTCAAATTTTGTAAACAAAAGTTAGTCTACTTCCTGCTGTCCAATCAATTCCAAATTTTGCACACGTACTCAGCTCCGGTGACAATGCACGCCTATGTGAAAATCGGCATGAATTCATCAACGAATTGTCTCCTTTCAAGCAATAACAATTTTTGTATGGACGGCAAATTAATTATATATTTTTGTGAAGGTCAAAAAAACGCCGCGGTCCCTAAACTGTGGAATCTACTCGCACAAAACGCAGGCGCCATTGACGTATTGTACTTCTCGACCGTGAGTTAAACGAAGTTGTTAATAAAAGCGTTGTTTAAAAATAAGTTTTTAAAGGAGTGTATCTTCAGTTAATCTGCTGTGTTTTCCTTTAGGAGGTGTTTTTTGGGTTAGATCGCGTAAATATAAATGTGTCGTTTAACCGACACCACCCGACACAGCCATTTAGTAAGGTTTGTCACGTAAACAAAACGTGGCAATTAGTTACTACTTCAGCACATCGGTGTGTTGGAGAGTAAACCCCATTGATATTTACGTGATCTAACACAAAACACTTGTTTTATGTATAATATTGGTCGCGAAAGTGTACGTATTAAACGGGTTTGTGTTTGTTCCCTCATCCAAATGTGCCCTCCCGTGACGGTTTCAGTCTGTGAACATATCCCTATGCTTACCCGTCCATACATCAAAGATAGCAGCAACACATGGAACGCTTTTTTTTTGTTATACATCTATATCTCCATTTATCAAGTTAAAATTCACAAGAATTGCTCTATTCTGATGTCTTTCATTCATCGTTTTAATCCTGATCCACTTGTAATGATTACCCTGGATATATACAACACAAAACAACACAAAAACGTGCACTGTGCATACAAAATGTCTTCGGGCCTTAAGCATTATGCAAACCCGCCAGTTCCTGAAGAACTGCAATGTGGCCATCTTGCATTAAGTTGAGCTAATTTGTCTAATCAACAGACAGAGAATGGTAGACCAAGTTTGTCATTATTGACTCAGAAGAATATTACACAGTAACCTAATTAATGCTCATTGCTGGCAGGCCTACTTCTGGAAAGCTCACATTCGTTGGCTATTCAGTCCCCACTTATACACTCTGGGGATACCCATACGATTACCTCATAGAAAACAATAAATTCAACTCTGTAAATGACGAGTAATTTACAAATTTGCTTTTAAATTGTCTCTCCAATAATTGTATTTTGTTTTGGACACGTATATGTGAGTTTTCCTGACGTTTGTTATGAGTATAACTTGTGGCATTCTGCAAGTGAAAGTTTCTTGTAATTTTCATTGGTATTTATAATGCCTATGTTAGAACATCTAATATCGTTAATACAGGAAGTACTTCCTTTATTAAGCACGTTCACAAACATATCTTAGGTGCTATGTAAAGAATATAATTCTTTCATAGCCTTGAGAAGCAACATTGTACAATTCATGATTGAAATACAGTATATAACATTTATGGTATTATATATGAAGGATGATCATCATGTAAGTGATCTACTGTGATCTACAGTAAAAAAAAAAATCATACACATTACGTTGATTTTTCAAATACGTATTCTTCGAGCATACATTTTTTTTGCAAATACTATACAATAGTTATGTATCATACTATACAATAGTTATATATTCTAACCATCGAACAAAGACGATCACTGCATTGCGCGCTTTCAGATGCACTTCTGCGGCCGACTGGAATGCTCTTGCGATATTAGGAAGCCACTGCAGCTGTGCACTTTTTAATCTAGATTGAAAACTAATTTCCTTGGAACTGCTTTTTGTATTTAGTTTATTGTCCCTTCCCCGCACCTCTGATTAGCACAGAAGTTCAACATAATACATATTGTTTGTGTACAATATTGACATTAAATAAATGTCCCTCAAATCGGCTAAAATGGCTTCGATGTAGTTGGAGTGTAAATACCTGTCCTCGCAGTCACAGACACTCCTTCACCAGAGAGATTTCCTTTCCCAATGGCTTTCACAGTGATGATGTATAGGACTCCGGGTCTCAGCCCAGCAAACTTGGCATTGAGTGAACCATTCGGGCTAACAGCAATGGAGGGTGAATCTCCAGGAGAGATTAATGCTGTGTATCGTTCAACATCTCCCAGAGCACTCAGCCAAATGACTTGCAGAGATGTGTTTGTTACTCCTCCACTGGCAAGAGTTAGATTTCTTGGCAAACCTGGTACTGAAAAGTTGCATGTAAATAAACAACATACATTATGGGTAACCATCTTAGATGGTGCTGTATTGTTCATTGTAGAAGTTGCATGGATATATGACGTAATATATACATTTTAAGCACTTAATATATATTTCATATCGCCAATGAATTTCCCAATTGTCTTATCATAAACTTGTGGAATGAACGTAGATATAGGCGAGCTCTCACATTATCTCTAGAGGGTTAGCCACATTTAAAATTACCTATGGGATTCTAAAATTGAAGCTTTCGTGACTGCAAGGATTCATATTCTTAGGTTTTTCTGTAAAGTCACGTAGGTAAAACATTAAAATTAATAAAAGTAAAATAAAATAAAAATCACGACGTTTCGGAGGCAACACAAGCTTCCGTCTTCAGGTGGAACCGTCACAGCCACGACAGCTGTATCAAGTAACTACAGTTATTTGCCAATCTTATTTGACAGACAACTATTACAGGTTTACCATGTTTAGTGGTTGTCTCCTTGTCACAGTTTGAGTCACAAACCGTACCTCTCCATAACAAAGGCTCACCCTCTTAAGCCTCACCTTACCATATGAATAAAAAGTGTGCTGCACGTGGCCCTTACCCCCCCCTTCTCCAACCATTATATAAACGGAGTGGTAGCTCCTGCAATCTCTCATTTACTTGATACAGCTGTCGTGGCTGTGACGGTTCCACCTGAAGACAGAAGCTTGTGTTGCCTCCGAAACGTCGTGATTTTTTATTTTATTTTACTTTTATTAATTTTAATGTTTTACCTACGTGACTTTACCGAAAAACCTAAGAATATGAATACCTATGGGATATTAATGTTATTATGCAATAATATACAATTCACACGATAATTTATGCAGCACAATAATTGGTGTTCACATTGAGACCATCAACCGACTCCTGTACATTTCAGAACCTGGTTTAACAAAGGTGGATATCCACATTTTAAATCGAGATCTTAACACTGCTAGTGGAATAGTCAGACATAGGTCCTTGCCTCAGACAGACTGAGGCCAAGTCATGTTTACATAACTAACCTGGAGATGTTGTAGATGGCGATGCTGTTGTGGTTGGCGATGTTGAAGATGTTGTTGAAGATATTGTTGAAGCTGTTGTTGGAAAAGTGGTTGTAGTTGGGGTATATGTTGTTTGTGACACTATTGTGGTTGGAGATATTGTTGTGATTATTGTCGGTGTATTTGTGGTGGATTGTGAAGTTGATTGGGTGGTAGTATCCAATGTTGTAGTTGGTGTGGTTTTCTGCGGTGTGGTTGTTGTCAAATTTACAGTGGTTGTCTCTGTTGTCGGTATATTTGTGGTGGATTGTGAAGTTGATTGGGTGGAAGTTTGCAGTGTTGTGGTGGGTGTGGTTGTCTGCAGTGTGGTTGTTGTCAAATGTACAGTGGTTGCCTCCGTTGTTGTTGGCGTTTTTGTGGTGGCTTGTGAAGTTGTGGTAGGGGCTTGGGTGATTGCTTCTGTGATTCTGGTAGATTGTTCTGATGAAGTCGATAGTGTGGTGGCTTGATGTGTTGTGGTTGTCTGCGGTGTGGTTGTTGTCAAATGTACGGTGGTTGTGTCTGTTGTCGGTGTATTTGTGGTTGTTTGTGAAGTTGATTGGGTGAGAGTTTCTTTTGTTGTGGTTGGCGTGGTAGTTTGCGGTGTGGTTGTTGTTAATTTTACAGTGGTTGTCTCTGTTGTTGTCGGTGTATTTGCGGTGGATTGTGAAGTTGTGGTAGGGGCTTGGGTGATTGCTTCTGTGATTCTGGTAGATTGTTCTGTTGAAGTCGATAGGGTGGTGACTTCCTTTGTTGTAGTTGCCTGCGGAGTGGTAGTTGTCATTCTGTAGTGGCTGTGTGTAGGTGCAGTTGTGGTGGATTGTGCTGTTGAAGTTGATAGGGTGGTGACTTCCTTGTTGTAGTTGCCTGTGGAGTTGTAGTTGTCAATTCTGAAGTGGCTGTTATAGGTGCAGTTGTGGTGGATTGTGCTGTTGAAGTCGATAGGTGGTGACTTTCTTGTTGTGGTTGCCTGCGGAGTGGTAGATTTGTCAATTCTGTAGTGGCTGTTGTAGGTGCAGTTGTGGTGGATTGTGCTGTTGAAGTTGATAGGGTGGTGACTTCCTTTGTTGTGGTTGCCTGCGGAGTGCTAGATGTCAATTCTGTAGTGCTGTTGTAGGTGCAGTTGTGTGGATTGTGCTGTTGAATTGATAGGGTGGTGACTTGCTTTGTTGTGGTTGCCTGCTGAGTGGTAGTTGTCAATTCTGAAGTGGATGTTGCAGGTGCGGTTGTGGTGGATTGTGCTGTTGAAGTCGATAGGGTGGTGACTTCCTTTGTTGTAGTTGCCTGCGGAGTTGTAGTTGTCAATTCTGAAGTGGATGTTGCAGGTGCAGTTGTGGTGGATTGTGCTGTTGAAGTCGATAGGGTGGTGACTTCCTTAGTTGTAGTTCCCTGCGGAGTGGTAGTTGTCAATTCTGTAGTGGCTGTTGTAGGTACAGTTGTGGTGGATTGTGCTGTTGAAGTTGATAGGGTGGTAACTTCCTTTGTTGTGGTTGCCTGCGGAGTGGTAGTTGTCAATTCTAAAGTGGCTGTTGTAGGTGCAGTTGTGGTGGATTGTGCTGTTGAAGTCGATAGGGGTGGTGACTTCCTTTGTTGTGGTTGCCTGTGGAGTGGTAGATGTCAATTCTGTAGTGGCTGTTGTAGGTGCATTTGTGGTGGATTGTGCTGTTGAAGTTGATAGGGTGGTGACTTCCTTTGTTGTAGTTGCCTGTGGAGTTGTAGTTGTCAATTCTGAAGTGGCTGTTGTAGGTGCAGTTGTGGTGGATTGTGCTGTTGAAGTCGATATGGTGGTGACTTCACGTGTTGTAGTTGCCTTTGGAGTGGTAGTTGTCAATTTTGAAGTGGCTGTTGTAGGTGCAGTTGTGGTGGATTGTGCTGTTGAAGTCGATAGGATGGTGACTTCCTTTGTTGTGGTTGCCTGCAGAGTGGTAGTTGTCAATTCTGTAGTGGTTGTTGTAGGTGCAGTTGTGGTGGA